CTGAGGACCTGAATTCAGCTCCCAAGAACCCACATAAAAAACCCACACACATCTACACATCTGTTCAAATACACATCTACAAATCTGTATACATATAACACACACACAAAGGCAAAATTTAGGAAGTTCATCAGACTGATCAGACTGGCCTGGTGTGCAGTAGGTCAGAGTAGAGCCAAGATTGGGCCACTGGTGCCCAATAGGTAGCCTCATGCCCCAAGATGCTAGGGAAGCCTGTAGCTGATTGGTTACATCACCTGGATTGTGCTTCTCCTTCCATTCTCTGGTCTCAGGGATGGAGGGCGAGCCTGGAGGAGACAATGTGAACTCCACTCAGTGCGATCAGAAACATCTCCCGCTGGTCTAGCATGTACAAAGTAGGGGAGGGCTATACACCTGTGAGATGACCCAGCCCCTCTAAAGGAGTAAGGTGAAATATGTATGCCAGTAGTAGGGGCTTTGGACTTGAAGAACCCTGGACTCAAGGAACATGGTAGAATGGTTCTGAGCCTCAACCATGTGTCATGTGGGTAATGTTAAAAGAGTTGATAGAGCCTCTACTGGCTCCTTGCTGCTAGCTGACTGTAATGCTTGTTCAGGGGGTCTTTGCTCCTCTGGCTTTGGTACTTAAGACCCTATTCACCATCTGAACAGTGAGGGCTGGAGCAGGGCAGGAGGGACCCTTGGAGCTCTTCCAGACTACACCACTGGGAGCCAGCATTGCTGATGTACTACCACTTCCTGTGTGTGTGAACTAGCCTTTTTCTGGCAGCCAGAGGGACATCACAGAGCCAACCTATGACTCCCTACAGGCCCAGGGAGCAGGGAGCTGGAGGGAACCAAGGCTAGAGGGGGGGGCCTGCCTGTTCTTGGGAATTCACGATGTGTCTGCTTGTTGTAAGCATCTCGATAAGGAAGATTTGTGGGTGAGATTTGCAATTCTGTTTTCTCTGATGGTTATAAATCAGTGGCACACATATCTTCCACGCAACATAAGCTGGAGGCTCATGAGCACACAGGGGAGTACAACGAAGACTTCTTAAGGGAGTGGGGCACTGTGGAGGAAAAACACAGAGTTCCCATGTGCCACATATCCTAACAAGGTCCCAGAACCAGAGATACAAGACTGAGATGGGCAGGATTACTCATGTGTGAACTTTCGTTCAACTCTTGGCTCTTCAACTTACTGGCTATGCTCTTGGCTCTGTGGCTTTTAAAGCTTCCTACCTCAGTTTCCCCATTTCTGAAATGAGGCTACTTATGCTATTACTTCACCGCATAGTTGAAAGAATAAAATGAAATATGATCTATAGAATGCTTTAAATGGCACAGGATACACAGGGAGAGCTTTGGGAAAGCTTGGTCATCATCAGTTGCCCCCCTCTGAGCCCCCCACCCCCTCTGAGCTGTTCACTCTCGTCACTGGATCATGACCATGAAAGATGCAGTCAGAGGCCCTTTGGATGTGGCCCCCATTGCTGTGTCTGCTGGAAATGGGCTCAAGGACTGGGGCCTTGTCCTGAAGCCTCCAGGTGTCTCTGCTCTGTGGCCTGTCTTCCTGCGGGAGAACAGCGTACAGAATGTTTAGAGGACCAGGGAAGAGAAGCCAAGGAGAAAGTCTAGGAACATCTGTCTCCCCTTCACCATGGGGGGAAGAAACCACTAGCCACATTGTCCCTCCTGTCCCAATTCTCCTTCCCTTTCCCGTGAGAATGGGCCTTGGAGAGGGGCAGGTGTGAGTCACGCCTGTGCCATGCACTTACTGGGTGGCCTTGGGCAGGTCATATAATCCCTCCACTCCCTCCAGTGAGGGATAATTGTTCCTGCCTTGCCGGGCAGCTAGAGAGCATGTTAAATGAGATACCGCATGTCAAGCACTTAGCCCAGTGCCCGGTGGTGGCCTCAGGATAAGTGCTCTGCAAATACCATCAGGGGCTCCTCTCCTTCCTCCAGTACCTGATGCACGGATGGCATCTTCTCAGGCCAGACCTTGTAATATTTCTCCCTGGGGGGAAAAATGAGCTTTAAATCTGGAACATCTAGGAGCAACTGTCCGCAAGCATAGAGAGAAAATGAGACCTGCCCTGCTCCCATGCAGGTCCTCTCCGTCACTGTGTCAGAGCTTGAGTACCATGCACAAAGCCCTCTTAATGGCCCACTGTTGTCCCCAACTCCTGCACCTTTACTGCCTCCTGGGGTCCACAGGTACTGTCAAATTGGGCTTGCTTCCAAGATGCTTCTGGCATTTTTACCTGCTCAGCCATAAAGCCCTGGAAAGCGATGAATCTAGGGATGAGTAGCCGCTTGCACAAGCACCGGGTGGGGGAGAGACGGGGAGCAGTGGCTATATTTTTGCAGAGCTGGCACTTTTATGCCTCTCTCTCCCAGCTCACTGCTGGGGCAAGCAGGACAGTGAAGCCTTGGCCTCGGATAATTGTCAGGAGCATCCCAGGCCAAGAGCCTAGTCTCCCTGTCAGAACTTTGGAGGCCAGACTTTTCTGTTACCAGGGAAACCAGTATTCCCTGGAAGGGAAATCAACACCGATGCTTTAGCTGTTAAGATGCACCCCCTCCCTGTGCTCCCCCGAAATGAGTTCCCTCCAAAACTGATTGCCCCTGGAAGCACCCAGGCGACAGCATCCCACCTCCTCCCTGAGCTGCTCACCGAGATGCCAGAAAATGAGATCTGCCCCTGACCTTGCATTTTCCACCTCTCTTTAAAACATTCCATTGTAGTGCAAGGACGTGTTTTGTTTTTTCTTATTTATCTTCCTCTCTTGCCAGCTGGGGTTCTGAGTCTTTCTCTGCTCTTGTTACTGGAGCCAGAAGGGAAAGGCCTTCCACCTCTTTCTCCCCTTCAGCTGTCAGAAAAAATAAACAAGCAGCTTTATATTTGGAAAACAGAGGGTCTTGGCCACCAGATTGCTATGTCCGGGGCAGGTCACAGCCTTGGTTGTCCCCCTCCTGCAACAGGGGTTTGAAATCTGACCTGCAGATTTGCAGAGCTGGAGGGGGAGGGCAGGCCTGTCTTTACTCACATAGACTTTCAGAAGTCATTGGAGGGTCACTAAGATTCTCCAGCGGCCAGCAGCACTGAGCCTTGGAAAAGCAGGTTATAAGAAAGAATAGCCAGAAGCAATTCCAGAGCTGGCAAGCTGTAAGCAGGGGTACCTCATTCCTGTCTCCCCTAAGGGCTACCCACCCAGGTTACAGATATACTGAGTCTATGGTGACATTACCAGAGCCTTTAAGGAGATGTTTTGTTTTTTGTTTGTTTGTTTTGTTTTGTTTTGCAGGGGAGAGGTGATATTTTTGTTTTTTGTTTTTGAGACAGAGTGCTTCTTAACAGCCCTGGCTTTCCTGAAACTCATTTTTTGGACCAGGCCAGCCTCCAACTCACAGAGACCCGCCTACCTCTGCCTCCCCAGTGCTGGGATTAAAGGTGTGCCCTGCCACACTTGTCTCTGCGGAGAATCTTGATGCAGGACCCATTGTTCTCCTTGTGTACTGCTGAATGGAGACTAAATAAAGCAGGGAAGCAAACAGAGAGAGAGAACGAGACTAGCTCGAGGGTTGTTAGAGGCTTTTAGGGCTCAGTAGAAGAGAGTGAAGATATGAAGAAACCTTCGTCCAAACAGCATTCAGACCCTTTCCCCTTAGAGCCTGTGTCTCCCCACCCTGACTTCTGAGGAGACCTGATGTTCTGCCTTAGCCTGTCAAGTGACCTGCGTGCCCAGGACCCCTTTATTTTGGTGATCTGAGGAGTTAATTTGTCACCTACAAGTGACTCCCTGTTCCATAGTAATTTTAAATAAATCCTTTCCTGTCCCTGAATTTCCACGGGAAGCAAGCACACCCCTACTGGGATTTCCTCCTTCAGATTTGCAGACATCATGTGCTCCAGGAAGTGTGCCCATCAGATGGCCAGCAGGTGCCCCAGGCTCCAGCCATGTGAAATATTGAACCAGGCACAGACCCACAGCAGGAGAGCCTGAGGAAGTGTCTTGGGGTCTCCAGGTCTTTGCACCTCAATCTAGGTTTGCATGGATCCTCCTAAGCCCTGTCAGCTCATGCTATTAGCACAAGGCTCTCAGAATGTAGAGTAAACTAATGAATTACAGCATGATTACACAGCACATAATTAACTTTTTAATTAATATGCAACTGCCACTTAAGCTAAAACACTGCTTATAGAGACGTAAGGCAATGGGAAATCACAGGTCAGAAATGGGCTTCGGGATTTTTAGAAGACTAAGCGGAAGCAGGGGATCATGCAAGGCCACAGGGCATGTTAATTAAAAGACGGTGAATACTGAGAGCCCAGAATGTTTTCATTCGGCACCTTCTCCTGTAACAAAGACCCCTAGCACTTGCCAGGTTGATCAGCCAGCATTAGCCAAAACAGCCCCTGAGCTTTGTATTTTCATATATAGAGCAGGCCTTACTTTCCTACTTACCCCATGTCTTGGCCCTTGGGGCCTGGATGTACCCCTTCCTCCTCCAGAAAGCCTGTGGGGTACCCTGCCTCCAGGGTTCAGCTTCATGCTGGCCATAATCAGTAGGGGTCTGGGCAGCTCCCTTGTCTCATCTGCATTTTAGGGTTCTAGAAGTCAGCAGTTCCATGTTCATTTGTATTCCATCTTATTCTCTGGCCTATCCTAAATTTTAAATAGGATTCCTTAGAAGTCACCCTATCCAGGCCCCTCCTCCCACCAAGGCCAGAGTCAAGCGGCTAAGCACCTCAGTCATGTGGTAATATAGGCGTGGACTGAGTCGGAAGCCTCCAAACAGGCCCACTCTGCTGTATGCTGCTACCAGACAAGGAGCCATTGCAGCTGTGGGATTAAGCCAAAGCCCTTGATATAAGTCACACACACACACACACACACACACACACACACACACACACACACACACACTAAGCTGTGTATCCTTGGGAAGATTGTGTAACCTCTCTGGGCCTTGCTTACTATAAGGGACAGGCATTGAGACCCACCCCAATGGGCTAGAGTAAGGGTTTGGTGGGAAGATGTACCTGAAGGAGCTCGTCGGAGTGCACACTATGTGTAGAGCTGTCTAAGGTTTCTGCAGCTAAGGGAATAGGTCCAGAGAGGTCAAGTGCATGTCCATAGTGCTGCACATAGATTGGTGTGTTTGCCACCCCCCCCCCCAACACCCACAACACCAAGAGCATCCAATGATGGACCTCTGTCCATATAGCCTACTCTGAACTGGATCTTTATGACTGAGTTGTCCTGACCTTGGCCCCAGGACCAAGTGCAGATTCATGGATTTGTCTGAGACACCTGGGTTCAAATCCTAGCATTGTTGTTTTCTGATCTGGGGAAGACTTTAAGTTCCTTTATTCTTTCCTACTGAGCATTTCCATCAGTAGATGGCAGTGATCATCCTCCTGCCTTTGGCTGTGTGGTTGCAATTCATAGGAAATGTCAAACGTGAGCCTGGAGAGTGGTAGCTAAGGTGCACCTGTTCTCATTGTTATTCACAGTTAGTGGAAACTGCAGGGTGGCTACCCCACAGCCTAGGGGAGAAAGCCCTCCCTCACTGGGACCCTGGGCTTCACACACCTGGATCCTGCGTCCTTTGCCTGGGTGGAGGAAGGAGGGGTCTTAGCCTCAGCAGATCTAGTTGTCTCCTTAGCCAGCTCACATGACCCTTGCCCATCCAGGAAGTGGCTGAGCCTTTGCTCCTAGCCTAAGCCAGCCTTGCTGTAGAGGGTAGCTGTCTGGATTTCCGTGAGAGACAGGCACTCAAGAAGTTTCTCAAGATCTTGGATCCAGGACCCAGGGCTCAGCTCTTCCTGGGGCTTCTCTTCCCAGAGATACTTTAGGGTCACATCTTCATGTAAAGCCGAGACTGTCTTCTTGCACCCACCCTGGTGGCTCTGCCATCTCTGGTGACTACCAGCTTCTCTGTGTCCCCTCTGCCTCTCTCTTTCCTTTGCACCCCCACTGGCATGCCTTGCATTTCTCCAAGTGAATTCCGGGGACATTCATGCTTATGGAATTTTCACATGTGTTCAAGGAAAGGGTTGTGTGTCTTAGGACCCAGTACCTCTGGGAATGTCAAGTGTTCGAAGCCATGTGGGAACACGTAGAAGCCACCTCTCCAGGAGGGCAGAACATACAACCTTTGTCTTATCTGACCAGGGCCTCAGCACTTCAGGGTGACCTCAGGATTGTGTTCCAGGGGACAAGTCACAGCCATGCACTGACCCTCCCTTAACTGACCATCAGTGAACCATCTCTGGCCTCCTGTCTCCACTGTAGACCCTGCCTGCCTGGATAAGCTCCATTCAGGTACCCAGGCCCCAAATCTCAGAGCTCCTGCCCTCTCCTTTATCCACACCAAAACTTTTAGACCCAGCCTTTCCCACTCATTGCCTCTGCCTGGTGTTAGGGCTGGCAGGCTTGGTCTTGCCCCACTTGTAGTCCCAGTTGCTCAAGTCCTCCAAGTCCATATGGAGGCTCTCTCAAGAGGGATGTTGGGGGGCAAGGGACTGGAGAGATGACTCAGTGGTTAAGAGAATATACTGCTCTTCCTGAGGACCTGAGTTCGATTCCCAGCACCTATGTCAGGCAGCTTACAACTCCCTGTAGTCCCAGCTCCAGGGGATCTGATACTCTGTGGACGCTTGCATTCATGTGCATACATTCCACACATATATACACAATTGAAATAATAAAATAAATCTTCAGAACAGAGGGGTGCTGAGGGGTAGTGCCTCTGTTCATCCTGCAGCTTCAGTTTACAATCTGAGCTTCTTTTTAAGACACTACTGCAAAATTTAGTAAACAGGCTTTAAAACTAGACTTTTGGGTTTTTTCAGATTGAAAATTTTTAGCATTCAGAGTGATGGCATTTTTGTAAGTCGTCCCCAGCAGGCGCCAGGCTTCTGTTGTTTCCTCCCTCCATAGTTGGGGCCGGATGAAGATTTGTATTCAGCAAAATGCTGACTGAGTCTGGGTGGCTGCTGTCATCACTACTTCATGCTTGCGGAAGAGCCCAGGGCTCAGGGGCCAGCAAATAATAGAGGCAGGATTTGAACCCAGTGGCCTAGTGCCCTTACCACTAAGCCACTCTGCCTGTCTAAGACTGCGTGATGACAAGAAGGTCAGGACACTCAAGTGCTCTGTGAACCACAGAGTGCGTGTGGTGGGACCTCTTGTTGCTGTCACCAGGCAGGAAGTAAGGTCCAATTTATCCCTGGAGGGCCTCTGATCTGAGACAGCAGTGGCTTGGTCCCCTGAGACCCTCACACCCAGAAACTCTCTGAGCTCACACAAGATGCTAGACAATATGATGGGGGCTAGAGCCAGCTAGAGGGAAAGGAGACTTCTGCCCAGAACCCTGGGGTCACAGTTCTGCAGGGAAAGCATGGCTGTGGCTTTCATTCCTGTCACCCTTGGCATGGGTATCCAGCCCCATATGGGGGGCTGGCAGCTCCAGTTAGCCCACTGTAGTAGCTGTGGACTGACTGCTGCCTAGTCTAGACCAGCACCTGCAAGGGCCAAGTAGCTCAGGGCAGCTGGGGCTCCCAAACCTAGGCAGAACCTACTCATACTTCCAAGGTTCTCCTCTGCCCACACCCACCCTTCCTAGATCTGTTTCCTTGGCAGTGAATGACTGACAGGTGGGTCTGGCTGCTTCCCCAGATCCCTTCCAGGTCTAGGCTGTAAGAATTGTTGCTCGTTGTTTTCTCTCTGCTACTTTTAGCACAGATCTGTCTCCTTTCTGATACTTTTCATATATATATAATTTTTTTTGAGAAATTCTGAAAAATTTGACAGGCAGAGAAAAGCTGCTATAGGGGCTATCAAGGACTCTGGTTAAGAACTCACACTGCTTTTCCAGCACCCACCTCAGGAGGCTCACAATCACTTGATGTAACTACAACTCCAGGGGGTGAGAGGGTCTGACCCCCTCTTCTGGCTTCCACGGGCACTACACTCATGTGTTTGTGTATACAATCAAAAATAAAATAAGAGGCTGCTCCATTGGACAGTCATACTTCTGTCTGGCCGAAAGGCACACCCATACAGAGCCTCAGTTTTCCCATCTGCAAAATGGAATAATAGAGTCAGATGTGCAGCTGTGCTATGAGGCTGCTTGGATGTGCGGTCCCTCCATCCAGGGGGCTCTGGGAGCCTTTCTCACATTCTGGGTTTCAGAAAAGAACACCAAGTCAGGAATCTGGAAGTAGGTATGTGGTGTGCCTTTTAGCCTCTTGCTACTCATTCTCCTTCCAGAGATGAGTCACTCAAGGCTGGGGAGATAGCTTGGCCAGTAACATGTCTGTCAGACAAGCATAAGGACCCAAGCTCAGATTCCTAGAACCTACAGAAAAGCCATACAGCAGTGCAGACCTATAACCCCAGCATTGATGTGTGTGGCAGCAAGGGTTAGACAGCTCATTGGGCACCCAGCCTGGCAGAATCAACAAGATTCAGGTTCAGTGTGAGATTCTGCCTAGAAAAAATAAAGGTGGAAAGAAGCTGAAGAAAGACATCCATGTCAACTTTGGACCTCCACTCACACACTCACACACATACACTAGCACCAGCATGCAGACACCACACACATACACAACAACAGCACTCACACAAAGTTGACTCACCTGAATGTCTTCATTTCCTGCGTTAGCAAAGACTGGGTGAGTAGACAATCATCTGTCAATGTCTGGACTAAGCAAGAATAGCCATGCCTTAAAAAAAAAAAAAAAAAAAAGTATAGCCATGCCTATCCAGGGTGCAGGGTTTGCACCCTGGTTCTACTCTCAGCCCCACTATCTCTGAGCTGTGTGGTCCCTTATAGACCTATTGAGCTCTAGGGGCTCTCTCTAGGAAATGCTGTTGCCTCTGTCCTGTCAAGTTCTCCAGAATACTGAGTAAGTAGATTTTGAATGTGTGGGGAGCCAGAGAGAGGAGACAGTCAAAACACTTTCTGTGCCCAGAACTGGAACTGTAGGGACATCTGCCTGAGTTCACTGCTTTCTCTAGCTTCCCTCCTTCCCTGTCCCCCAGAGCTCTTGAGTAACCACTGGCCTCGCCAGCCCCTCCCCATTTCCTGGCATCTGAGACTTTGGAATAGCCACAGGAGCCAGAGGCAAAGCCAGGTCAGGGCCTCTGTGTGAGTGTTGCTGTCCTGGGAGACACTGTGGCCTGGACAGTGTCAGTCATCTCAACACTGCACAGCAGTGATGCTCACTTCCTTGCTCTGGGCAGTGGGGCTGGGAAGGAAGTGTCCAGCTGATGAAGGTCTGCCGTGCTCCTGTGTGGTATGGGATGTGCAATTGAGGCCCTTGTGGTCAGAACAAGGACAGAATCCCGGCGCCACTTCTCAGCACCATGGCCTCAAGCAAGTCACTGGGCCTCTCAGAGCCTCGGTTCCCTCTGTGGCCGGACTCTGATAACTGGAGCATAAGTCACAGCAAAGCTGACGAAGGGAACCTTGTGTCTGCTCCCTACATGTTCAGTAGCTATTCAGTAGGGAGACTGGCTTTGAGGAAAAGAGCCCCCAAAGGCCTTGCCCAAGGCTAAAACAGCTCTTTTTTGTCTATTGTGTGTAGTGTGTGTGTGTGTTGGGGGGGGGGGTCAGGGACCTAGACTGCAACCAGAAGGGACAGGAGGGCCTGACTTGAAGGTATTACAAGGCCATTAAGGCATCCTATGCCCAAAGGACAAAGAGTTCAGATGCAGCTGCAGTCCCAAGCCTAGTGTGGGTGGGGACTGTGGCCGACCTTTCTCAGGGCCATGATCCAGTGTGTGTCCCTTCTCTATTCAGTCCAGGGCAGTATGTCAGGCGTAGCTAGGTGGGGCTGCCCTTCAGGACCCTGACTCTGAAAAGCTGAAACTACTGTTTTTCTTTAACCAACGTCAACAGTGGATGATCCTGTGAATTGGGTGGGTGCTGGAAGGTGGGGGTCACCAAGAGAAGCCTCCAACATTGAACCAATGTCTGGAGTCACTCACTGTTCAGATGGCATGGGCTTTATGGAGCCTGGTCACAGGGTGCTCGCTGCTTGGGTAGAGGAAGCAGGTGTGGGCCTTTCAGATTCCTCTCTCCTAAGTTTCTTTGCTCGCTCAGCTCCTCAGCCCGGTAGGGAAGGGAGGAGATTTCCTGTCCTCCCATAGAAGACACAGGCTCAGGAGGTGAAAGGCCTTCCCAAAGCCCATAGCCAGGAAGACCTGGCTCTCCTCCTGTCACCCGCTGGAGCCCCGCCCTGTGTAGACCTCCTGCCTGCCCAGGGCCTGTCCTCACTGCCTGACCTAGAGAAGGACAGCTGGTCCCTAGCAGCTGCCCAGAGCTTCCCCACTCCTCTGGCTCCTGCCACCTGCCCTTCTTCTAGACTCTCCTGGAGTAGAACACAAAGATGGAGTCACTCCCTCCGCCTGCTTTTGCTTCCCACTTCTCTGAGCTTCCATGACTTCAAGATGAGGAGGGTGGAAGTCTACATCAGCGCTTCCCTTACCTCAGTCCCATCCACCCCACCCCACCCCACTCTCAACTAAGACTACATTCAAAATGACTTCGAACCCAGATCAGCCATTGGTTAATTAACTTAACTCCATCGTAAATAAGACACATGAACTCACTCTTGGTCGTTTTCCTAGACCCAAGACTTCACTATGAAAATGGAAAAGGTTTGCCCATGGATGACTAGAAAACGTCCTTTTCACCCATGGGACACCAGTCACCCCTTAAGAACACTGCCCTAGATGGCCAGTGACTCCCAGTGCCAAGATACCCTGGTTACAGCTAAGATTTCAGTTCTCAGTATCTTAGCAGTGGCCATGTATCCACCTTCAACTGTCTGTTGAATGAGCACATTCTGAGTGTGGGCTTCAAGACACAGAAGTGCTACACATCCCTGCTGAAGGGGAGACAGGTGTGGGACAAGGATGCTGAGGGGATTCAAGTAAAGGGTGTGAGCAGTGCCACTAGCTGAGTATAGTTTGCTAGACCTTGATGATTGAAGGGGGCAAACATTCTGACCTGAGGGCAGGCTGAGTCAAAGTTCAGAGCTTAGACTAGGAGTCAGCTAGCTTCCCAATGGAGGGACTTGGGGTGTGGGCTAAAAGTGGTGGCAAGTGGGGGTGGGAGTAGGCCAGGGAAGGCCGTAAGTGATATTGCCATATGTCAAAGCTCTGTGAGCTCTGTTCTTCTCCATATCTAAAGCTGCTGGAGGGACAGTCTGG